ATGGATTGGTCACCTCCCTTTGTTGCGTGTTGCTATCTCCCTGAGTTGAACAGTGAATGATAGTCCTTTTCATATGTCATCATCAAGCCCGTTATTTACAGTTGGTATCAGAGGCTGTATATTCAGTCATAGGCGTGTAATTCATAAACACAATTAAGTAAACAAAATGAATATCCGTCCGTCTCTCTCTCTTCACAATTCGGTATTAAATCAGTAAATCCAAAGTGTTTGGTCTATCTGTATTAGCATTCTTCACACAGCAAATGTTCCTGTCACCGTGTATTTACCAAAATTAATCACTTTTGGTTTCCACGGATATTGAAAAAAATATTCGACAGTTATATGTTCGACCGGAATCCGCCGTCTGCCCTTGTGATACATTTGTGTACCTTGGAAACAGGGACAATTATGTCAATTTCACGTGGACCGTTTCAAATACCGGAAGCACGTGGAAACGTGATCACACCACTACCACGAGAGCGAGTAGGAGGGCGTTACGGGAGGGTGTAAAAGAAGGGGTATATGCGAGCGTCTGTATGTTTCATTTTGTGTGCGGAGATACAGCGATCGATATTGAGGGAAAGAATTAAGTGAATGAATCTTTACTAATTTTCCAACATCTTTTTTTCTCGAGCATACAAGTTTTATAAAATTCGAAGTAAGTTTTCAGATAAAAGTCGCGTTCCTCTCCCCCTCTTTTGCCCCACAATCAGCCCACCCTGGCATACCTTTGTATCCACCATCGTCGAGGGTTACCGAGCTTTCACAAGGTTAAAAATGCGTGCTTCACCGCCTGATGAATTTGGGGCCATTTTATCAATAAATCTTATCAATTCAAGATTCTATTCATTTGAACAGTCATTTGCGTTATCGGTAGATTTAAGTGAAATCAGATTTAGTTGGTTGAACTAAGTGCTACTCGTCACATCACCGGAAATAAATTAATTGTTATAATAATTATACACGATGAATGCATCAGGGAATCAGGAGAGTGAAGTAATATAAATTATACATTTACCATGAAAATTTACTCTGATGAAGAAACCGATTTTATAACCTTACAAAAACAAAAAAATTTAACGATCAGTAAGATGGGAATGTTTCTTTTTTCAACTTTTTAATTTTGTGTTTTTGTAATAGTATTTCTTTCTTTGCATCGATACTTTCCTTAATCTTATAACCGGTTAAAGTTGTAGCAACATTAAGCAGAGTTTTTACAAAACAATCTCCTTTCATTACTTGTACCTTTTTCGTGTAATTTTAGCAGTTATTCATCGGTTGATAATTTCTTCAATAAATGCTCCATCAGATTCTTTTCAGGTAGTTAAGTTCACAATTTTTACAAATTCTTCACTGTCTTTCTTTTTGGATCATATAACTTTTATAAAACACGATTTCAATATTCAGATAAATTTTCTACTTTACTTTTGTTTGTGTCAATTCTTTCCTTTAAAAAGACATTTTTTGTCATTTTATAACTGGTTCAAGTTGAATTTTCTATAAAAAAGATTTCAATAAAACGATTTTCTTTTCATTATTCTTTAAACCATTTCGAATATTATACATCAGGTTGTAACTTCGACTATAACTGCTTCATGAGATCCCTTAGAGTTCACAAACTTTCGACCTTTATTTTAAATGATTTTTATATCAGAAAGTGTTAAGTAATAGTCTACTGTTCGGAAAAGAAGTATTCGAGATCAACCCTCAAATCCGCTGGAAATAGGCGCAGGCGCAAACAACATTCCACAGCCGTACAACTTAAAATATAGGTCAACGAACAACAATTTTATCTAAGATGTCTGCCCCAGAATCGAGTTACTCAGACGACTGTCGTCTGCTTTGACAACAAACTGGAGCGCGGTGACCCAGTTTTTCAACTGTTGGCCTTGTCCTCGCATGATGGCCTTGTCCTCGTGGAGGAGCCCCTTGCAGCTGTCCTAATGTCACCGTGAGTGTCTTTTTATGTTTTAACGACGAAGCGCGTAAAAATATTGTATCATTTCAGCCTGCATGAAAATGTTCCACCTTAATAAACTCGATGGACAAACAACTATTGCAGCATACCCTGTAGAAAAATAAATTTAAAGAAAACGACGCATTTGCTTCCATTGCAATAAAAATTATCTTTTTATCAGAGATAATACGTGAAATGACAGCCTACTTTTTAAGCTGCTGACCTTAAACATCTTATCAGCGATGTCATTTTCCTAAAAAAATATGCACATTTTATTTAAAATCACATTGATTGAAATGCTGACTTACTACATAAAGGCCGTGTTCTGATACCATACATGTATATCGATCACCAGGTGCTATATCCCAACATGGCATGATATTTTTGCACGCGATAATTATATATACATCTCTGTTACCATAATCGTCAAATATAATCCGGATATCAAATTGCAGGTCGTAGCCCTGGTGAGCATTTTAATTATTACTCCTCTTCTATGCATACATGTTTATGCAAGGAATATTATTTATACATCTACGAGGACACAGTGGTCGCGGCCGTTCTTAATGCATCTGACATTCTGACATAACTTTAACGCAGATACAGTTTCTCAAAAACCATGAGCAGTCAATAGGTCAAGAAAAATGACTCGATGTCTGTGTCGAAGTTAAATTTTGAACCAATAAACCAATGTTACAAATGAATCATTGATACTTTGGAATACTGTAATCTCTGAAAATATAATTGTCCCTATTCAGTGTAGCCTACAAATACATGACAGATTTTAGGTCGATATAGATATTTTTGTACGCTTTTTACTCATCCGCTATAAATATGATAAATTATTTAATATAATTTTTCTGCAGATATACATTTTCCTAAAAACTATAGTAGTCAATAGATAAAAGAAAATGGAAAGATATATATGTCAATGTCAGGTTTTCAATTATTTCCTGATTGCCATCCTAAAATAATAAACTGTTAACATATATATACTAAGTACCGGTATATTAAATCTATTTTAATTAAGTTGATTTCTTTTTATAATCTTGTATATAATCTTGTACCCAATAAAGTCATTCAAATCAAATCAAATCAAATTTCATATAGTCTCAGAAATAGGACGTAGCTGACCTGCGCAATTCATTATTGAATCAATGAATAATGGCCTCCACGGTTGTTAATCTTTCTTATCTCGTAGTATTTAGGAGTAACCGACTAGTAAATCTAGCGCCGACTTCACAAACCAAACACAACCCCACGTAATCAAACAGTGCGGTCCTGATAACCGAATTTTAGCCAATCAAATTACGGAGAGCATGAACAGGTGATGTCCACCCTGAGTTTCTCTATCATATTATTGACGTTGGATTCCTATTTCCTTCAAGGCATGTTGCCAGCATGACTGTAATCTAATTGAAAAATGGTCATTACATGTAAGTGTATGTTAAATGCAATCCTCACTTTGTTTTAAAGTGTTAACTTATTTCATACTAATATATATTTAGATCTTTTACGTCGATTACCAATGCAATGCTGAACACAGGGAATATTGTAGCCAGACATCCCTAATTTTTCTGTAAAAAACAGGGTGAAGATGGCGTGATGTGGAAGCAATGGTCCCTGTATATAAATGTTTGGTAGTTTGGTTCAAAATTCTGTGGGCAGGTGTAGCGTGATTTGTCTGATGTTGATGGTGCCACAGGCGTTGGTGATGATGATGATGATGGAGTTGTCTGTATTGTTGTTGAGATTTTCGTTGTTGCTGTTGTTGTTTTGGTCAACAAGGCTGACAGTGTTGGTTGGTGCCCAGTTATTTTGCTGTCTCCCGTAGGTGGTACCACAACGGGTTTATGATGCTTTTGGTGCGGCGTTGCTGTTGTTGCTGCTAATGTTCCTAAGGATGTCGTTTTGTTAAAAGACAAAGGTTTTAATGAAGATTTCTCTGAAAGAGATGTTGCGGGTAAGAAGGTTGATACTGTTGATTTCTGATCAGTTCTTTTGCTCAAGCTGCCTGGCGTCAAGGTCACTGTCCGAGTAGAGGAGAGCACCTTGCTTGTGGTAATATTTTCTTCTACATCTGAAAAGAGACGAGTTTGAACGTCTTGAATAAACAAGTACATGTACATTAACGCCACTGATTTTACTCATGCCAGTAAACCTAAACTTGCCGTTTGTTGGCAGACGATGCGTGAATCATTACTTGTTCATCATACCTTCCATTTTACTAAGCGTAAAGCTTTGAAGGTGATAAATATTCAACAATCAAGACGTAACGAAATGGAATGATATGTATATATTCAAGACAACTACAACCCCACATTCAGTCCAAGTAAATATTAACAAGCATTAGTTGTGAGTTGAAAAAAAGCTCAGCTCAACATATTGACAAATGTATCTGTAGCTGTAACCAAGCTGACTAGAGCCTTAGTCGTGTCATTGCCAATTGTCTAAACTCCTCATACATGCGCCGTCTTCTGTCAACCTTGCAAAACCACAGGGTTGACCGTGTGCTCTAGTATTTTCGGCAATATTCTCGTCCTGTGACCTCCACTCCTCCTTAGTGATAAACTGGTAGCAATGGTCCCTGTATGTAAATGTTTGGTAGTTTGGTTCCAAATTCTTTGGGCAGGTGTAGCGTGATGCGTCTGATGCTGATGTTGCCACGGGCGTTGATGATGATAGTAGAGTTGTCCTTTTTGCTGCAGTTGTTGTTGTTGTTTTGGTTAACAGGTCTGATAGAGTTGGGTGGTGCCTAGTTGTTTTGCTGTCTCGCGTAGATTGTACCGCAGGCGTTGATGATGATGATGGAGTTGTCCATTTTGCTGTTGTTGTTTTAATGTTAAGGAAATTACATAGCACACAAACTCTCTTTTCCCTCCACCCCCACTCTCTCTCTCTCTGCGTCAACTATCATTGTGTGTACTCATACACTGGGTTTGCATTACCGTAAATCATAATACTTTTCTATTACACTCAGGAATTCACACTTTTAAAGAGTCCCTCCCTTATGCCCCTATTTCACACAGACCACGAATGTCACTAGTCGCCAGGAATTGACAAATTTCAGGATTCGTGGTTGAATCGTAATCAGTTCGTGATTGAAAAAGAATTGCAAGAACTGACTACGAATATATACGAATCTGTTAAGAACTTCACGACATGTTACAACAACTCAGCATAAAAGACAATACCGGTCCATACATTAATGTCATCATGTTCTAAATTACAAAATTCGTCCAAGCTTCAATGGTGCAGTTTCAAATGCCTTAATCTATAAACAAATCTATTTACAATAGGCATAGAATTACTGAATCAATACATATAATACCGTCAATATTGTATTAAATATATGAAGATGACTATATCAGTATTTTAAGATGTACGTACCTTTTGCTCCGCTGACAGCCGTTTTTTCGGGCAGCGTTCTAGTCGAACTTTTCTGCTATACTGGGATGACAATGACGATATCGATGTAAATAGTACCTATGTGGACAAAAGGCCCGTAAATGTTGACAGTGTGACTGTGACAAATGTGATCCTACACTTACGGTTTTAAATATTTGCACATGAATTAAAAACAAACTAATTGAAAGGCAATTTACTCTATCGATATATATTTTTTCAAAGCAACTTTCCCCATATCTGGCGAAAATGTGAAATATCAAAGTGAATGTTTTTATTCATCCAGTTGTATTTTACTTAGATATTGAAAATAATTCAATCTTATGATGTATCTCATTTGAAATCCCGAGCGGTCTGTCACCACGCTACACCAGTGACAACTCAGTTTATGACTGTACGGTCGAAACGTAATATTTGTTTCAAGTAAACTCCAGTGTAAGATTCTATTCTTTCGTTATCTTAGAAAATGTTAAATGTTTAATGAAAAATGGGGAGAATGGGTAACTTAGAAGCTGAAAGAGGATACCTAAGAAGTACGTGCCGCTAACCTCCCGCCCCAATCCGCCTTTGAAAAGATTCGATCAGTAACTAAGAGTAAAACTTACCATACTGACATATAAACCTGAACTGCTGTGTCCCTATATTACAGTGAAAGTCGTAGCTCTTGTAGTCTTCATTTTTCACCAAAGCCACGCAGTCCTCAAGTCCAATTGAGTGTCCAGAAACCGGACGGCTGAGCAGGTGCCCAGTTAGTGTAGGTACATGTAACTTCCCGGCCTGAAAGATAAGAGTGAGTTATATATGAAGTAAATGCTCTTTCTCTCTCTCTCTCTCTCTCTCTCTCTCTCTCTCACACACACACACACACACACACACAAACACATGTATAAAGATATGTAGAAAGTAAGGACATAATGGTACTTCACAGTGAAATCTAGGACGACTTTAATGCATTGGAGTTCTTATTCTTTTTTTTTTTTTTTTTTTTTGTGTGTGTGTGTGTGTGTGTGTGTGTGTGTGACATAAGATAATTAGAAATCATCTGTAAGCCACCTATTCTTCTCCATATAAATTGACCCTCCTTCCCTCTGTCATTGGCTCCGGTCCAAACGGTATCCCATCTATAGTAATTAGTTAGTGTCCTAGCGATAAATCTCATGGTCTCTTTGTCGTATATCTCAAGTAACCGTCCACCGTTGACCTCGCAGTCGTTTAAAGCACCAACCCCCTTGACGGCACGATCCACAAACTGGTAACACTGACCGCTGTACACGTGGCGTTCATTTGTACGCACTTCCGGTGCACAGCACAAAAAGTCAATTTTCAGCTCTTTTACTCTTCAGGAAATGGGTCTGAATATTCTCTTTACAAGCCTTTTCAACGGTGTAAAGCTCTACCGGAAAGGTCAGGGTCTACGGGTTTACTACCCTTTTATTCCCAAGCTTAAAATTGTAGTTGCACTATTACTACGTCTTTCCGATCAAGTATAGGCGTCTGAAAACAACCTCTTTACAACTCCTTTCCGATCAAATATAGGCGATTTTTTACACGTCTTTATAACCCTTTTCCGATGAAGTAAATGCGATATGAGGTACGTCATTATAACCCTTTTCCGATCAAATAAAGGCGATTTTAGGCAAGTCTTTACTACCCTTTTCTAATCAAATAGTTTTGAGTTATTTCAATTACTTATAGCACTGATAATGTTTCAAATTCATGTAGCATTTCATATAATGAGAGGAAGGCTTGTGAATTTTCAATTATAGTAATATATTGCAAAAAACAACAATAACCATTACAATGCAGTGGGAATTATGTTTATAAAGCGCAATACAGCTACTATATTTCACAAGTGGAAAGTAATCTTACACTTATTAATGTATTATTTTGTACACTCATTATACGCACACCCTAAACAATAGCGAATACCATTAAAAATTTACCTAGTAAAATAACTACGCAAATAAATACGAACCACATTTAAATACGACTTTCCAGAACAAAATCTAACCAAAAGTACAATTATAGGAATGTCACAGATTCATAAGTAGTCAGGCTTTTTCCATTATTTATCTGACATCTGGTAAACATATGATGAAAACGAAAACGACTACTGCTTATCCATCGACTTAATGTATTTGCAGAGAGTGGCCGCTCGTTAAATAACATGCCAATTATGTGTGCCCTAATTGCCCAACCCCGTTTTAAAAATTACACTCATTAGGTATTTTTGTTCACATTAAGTAAGGCGATGAAGCCTAGCTTCCAGGGAAAGATGAAATATTGTCACCAAAACCTCTACAAAATGCGTAGGCTAAAGAAATAAAATAACATTAAAAATATGGGAAAATTAAAAACAAGAGAAACGCAACACAACATGTACCTGAAATATCCGACTAACTTAAAGTATTTAATTAAAATCAAATAAATGCTGCTCAAATTCTAAGAGAAAAATGTACTTTCATAATAAATTTATAGAAAATACAGCTATTTATTTCTTGAGGTGTGTGAAACGTTCATCTTATTTAGCGTGATTCGTGAAGCACCCCATTCACGCGACTTGTGAATGCAATTGTTTATTCTCCGCCCTTCGTGAAACGAAGACATTATACCCGGTGATACGTGATTTTCAGGATATTTTTAAAATGCCTACTATCAGTGAGATAATAATACACTGTGATTTGTGTATTGATGATATAGCTTCCCGCGTACTGTGGTCATTACCCTCCCCAATTGGACTTTCAAGATTGGGCCTGAATTAAAACATATCAGTTTACTTGGGATCACAGCAAAATAATATACAAATATATGTTCAAATATAAGAAGTACTGATCTCATTGTAATAACAATATATATAAAAACAGTAAGTAAAAATCAATCACCGTAAAGGAGATATATAAACATTTTTCATGTTGAATACTGTGATATTATCTAATCTACAACTGTGGACTCTAATCGTCCTTGCGTGTAAATTATTTTCCACACATCAAATCGCCCTTGTGTGTAAATTATTTTCCACACATCAATTTGAGCACTTCTTTAGCCTGGCAGACCCCCGCGTCAGATATTTCTGCCGTTGCCCCTTTCAACGTCTTCCCCTTGTTCAGTGCTGCTATCGCCCTTTCCTTTTTTTCCAGTGCGGTATCCTTCTTAACGGTTTCTGTAAAGATATAACGAAATGATATCAAAATATAATGTGTAATAACGTATTAATAACAACTGGGTAAAGGGAACAGCATGTCTGACTAAAAAAAATCCGGGAAAGTATCAGGATTGAGAATTACAAGAATGCATGTAGCCTACCACTACAACAGACATGGAGAATGTAATAAAATCAAAGACTTGGTAATTTATCAACACACATTGATAATCAATTATTAAAAATGAAAATAAATGAATATTATGAAAATAACAAAAGGAATAAAACCACTTACTGTCTTCATCCTCTCGTTTTTCCTGTACATTAACTTTGTGCTCTGTGGCTATCTTCACACCACACCACATCCTCCCCTTTGTAGTTGCGATTTAATATTCGTTGTTTAGGGGTGGTCGGCTCATGTCTTAGTTAAACTAACTCTTATCAAAATAACACGATCCAGGACTGGGCCCCTGGGGACGTGTGTTTTGACAGCGCCCCTGGTTAAAAGCTTTGAGATTGCTTTTGGGACGTTAGAGTTAAGATTGAAGTATAAAAGTCCCTTAGATGCGTTATCACGTGTTTGTGAAGAGATGACAACGGTGATAGAACGTCTTATAATTCTGATTCGAATTATGTTAGATAACTATTTATTGCCGTATTCAATATTATCGGCTGTTGTTTCACTTCAGTACTATGTGAGAGAGGTGTCTCGCCTCTGTATGTGTTTGACCTGAAGGGCCGACTGTACGAGATACACAGAGTGCGGCTGGGGAAACGAAAAAAAGGGAGGTTGGACTGGTTGCAGAAAGCGCTTTTCGGTCAACAAGTGACCTTCATCAGCTGCAGAGTCCTGAAAAAAAGAGGGGGGACTGTGCTTAAACAAAAAAGTGAGATTCCAAAACACTTGGTTTAAGCCTTCATCATCGCGGTTGGAGAGAGGTTACATAAAAGGTTAAATAGCTTATTGGCCACCATGCTGCTTGTTATACTGACCTCAGCTCATGAGTCATCTCTCGACCATCGTGTTTCAATGGTACTTCATGTGAAAACTGTGTTAATTACTGGTAGCAATCCCCATACAAATACAACCGAATCCGGCTGTCATCTAAAGCAGGCCTGTCCTTCTCTGTCAAAGCCCATAACTTATAAACAAAATAGCCGTTTTTGACTTGCGGCGATTTACTTATTTTCATGTGAAAAATGAATTTCTATGAAGAAATCAGTATATTGCGATATGATACATTTTCATTAGCAGAAACCGTGTAAAAGACACACGATGCACGTGTAATGTGCAGTGATTCTTCACTTACGTGGTTTAACCACCCCCTTCTCTTCGTCACCCACTATGAGCAAGATATCTCATCATCAATAGCAAAGTACTCCTGTTATATACGTATTACGGCACATCATACTGATAATGTTTGCTATATATCAACAAATTTATCACTGCTTAACCTTGCAAAATAACAATGGTCTTAGTTATTCAGTTTTTCAAGCAAGGTTTTTATGACAGTTAGTTTAGAACTAATGGTTTACTAATGGTTCTAGACATGGTCTATCGAGCGAAATCTTATCGTGGGATGTACTACGATCAGTTGTGGGGCAATACTTATTCATCAAATAAAAAAATTATCTAATGCATCTCCAGTCAACATTGGTATTAAAGTATTTTTTGTTTTCGTCTTTTAGCTAGATGAAATATTGAAGGTGGCCGTGACGTACATTGTTGTTAGTCGGGCTTTGTTGAAATTTCCCCGGCCACCAGCGCATAGAGTGACACATCTTTATCCTTTTTTGTTTGTTCTCCGCTCAGTGTTGATTAAATATTAAATATTAACGGTCACCCGCTGGTTCTTCCAGCTCCCTTATTAATTAAAGATTGGTTGCACCACTGCACACGCTGATTCAATGCATAAGCACTACGTCCATCAGTGTAATAAACTTAAGATCTATTTAACTGCCGCAGTCTAAATCGCGATCGTCTAAGGAATCTTTATTAATACACCTTATTAATGGAAAAAATAAAAAAAAATTAAAGATACACTGACTGTGTATCATGATTTCAGTGAAATGATTTTTACTCCGGAGACACCTTAAATTGTATCCTATAAAATCCAGATTGTAAGCGCAAGTGTGATTAAAAATTTCTATAGTACAAGCGACAAGTTAAATGCTAGTCAGTTATGTTGCTGCAACCAGAGTTGCATTATTCAAGACCGCGGCCAAACTTTTAATAATCAAACAGCATGGCCTTTGACCAAGTCTTATTCTTTATAATTCATTGCAATTTTATGGAAATAATAATCATGCTTTAAATAGACTTTGATATCGCTTCCAAGCAATCTATATTAATTTAAAATGGTTTTTGAGACGACTGTGAATTGGACTGGATTTGATAGATCAAATACAACTTTTAGGGATAAATCAGCAAAGAGAAATGAAATGATGAATAACAAAATATGATAAGCCCTCGGGGGAAGCTTCCTCAGGAGAGATGTTCTTATGATCGGGATGATCACGCCTTTCGACAGTATATACATGTAGCGCACCTAAGATAATAAAATGAAATTTTGAAAGGAATTAACAATATAAATCTTTCAGTTCCATTGAAATCTCATGTTCTTAAATGTCAGTCACAATCCAATAACGACCGTCACATAATACCAAGGCGGGACCCCTGCGGAAAAACGTTGTTCAGTCGCGAAGAAAGACGAACGAGATTACGCCTGTTGAAAGGCCGTGTAAAAGAGAAAGGGGTACTCCTGCGCGGAAAAACGTCATTCAGTCGCGCGTTGTAAAGGCCAGCTTGCACTGTTCCGACGTCATTCCGCGGAGGCTGAAAAATCGGAAAGATTTGTTTTTGTGCTGTGAATTGGTTGCATGAAGCACATGCATGTGACATTTTCCTGTCAGTGTTGCGTGGGCAAAACATTTATATAAATTTAAAAACTAATATTTAAAAACCAATGCTTCTCTTTGGGGTCATAAATGACCCCACAAGAGTTTGTGCTATATACGCCACACAAATTGGTTGATCCCTGCAAAAAACTGTGAAAATGTGTAAGATTAGTAGACTGACAAACTCATGCAAGGAAAGAAAATTCGAATAAAAAATAAAGAGATGGCACATTAAATCATATCGCTGGGGTCGTAAATGACCCCACCCGGTCACTTGAGGGTTATTGAAGCAAAGGCACTTTTACCTATAAGATGAGACGAGAGTGAAAATCAAAACAGACAAGATTTTCAAAAACAAAGAAAAAATCAAAAGGCAGCCATAGTTACCCTTCCCTTCCCTTCCCCTCAAAAATAAACAAACAGACAGACAGGCAGACAGACAGACAGACAAAGAAACAAACAGACAAATAAACAGACAAACAAACAAACAAACAATCCACCCACAATCCACCCACCGATAGTAAACCTGGCGTCCATTTCTTACTACTGTCGTGTTCACAAAAGGCTGTTAATGTCACAGAGAGAAAGTAAAAAATTCCCGAGAGAGAGTGAGAGAGAGGGAGATAGAGAAGGAGGAAGAGATTGAAAACTTACTTCTTCAACAGTGGCTATGGTGTACAGATTACACAGCCTTAAACTAAAGGAAATGTAGATCTGTATGCTTCACTTCGATGCTGTATATTTAACCTGTTTCTTCAACAGTTGTTACGGTTTACAGATTACACACCCTTTTATTTATCTAATTACTTATTTATTTTGTCAAAGTTTGTTTTAAAGATAGATAAATAACGCACCATATGGTTTTCTGCGCCGCTTATTTCGTTCAATTATTTAGAAATAAAAAAACAGTGTTTTAGTGATAAATGGTCTCCTTTGTCTACATGGAAATGTGAGATTTTACAGTTTATGCTCTCCTTGAGCGATTGTAGGTACCAATAAACAGATAAAATGCGCTGTAATTACTGTTTCTTTAGCTGTTATTATACAGATTACACAGCCTTAGACTAAATGAAATGTAGATCTGTATCTTTCACTTTGATGCTGTATACTTAACCTGTTTCTTCAACAGTTGTTACCCTTTTATTTATTTTAGTCAAAGTTTGTTTTAAAGGCAGATAAATAACGCACCATATGGTTTTCTGCACCGCTTATTTCGTTGAATTATTTAGGAATAAAAAAACAGTGTTTTAGCGATAAATGGTCACCTTTGTCTTCATGGAAATGTGTGATTTTATAATCCATGCTCTCCTTGTGCGATTGTAGGTACCAATAAACAAATTAAATGCGCTGTAATTACCTAATCCTACACACTTCCGCAGTTTTTTGAAGGGATTAACCAATTTATGTGGCGTATACAACACAAATTCTTGTAGGGTTATTTATGACCCGAAGTTAAGCGTTGGTTTTTAAACATTGATTTTTAAAAGCTAATCAAATGTTCCACTTCTTATATTGTAGTGCACTGAACCATGTGCCTCGAATAAGGACAGATTGGTAAGGGAAGTGGTAATCCAATTACCGGTAGCACATTTTTTCCTGATATCAGCTTTAAAAGATCTAGGGTTCATCTCAATTTTGCAGGCACTTGTATTGAGTCTAACACACAGAAGCATGTTGGTACAAATGGGTCCCCTGCTGATAAAAGATCTACAAGTTGGCGACATTATCCCGGACATGGTAGACAGGATAATCCTTAGTGAGCGTAATGCAGAAAAGTTAATGGCTCACAAAACAAAACAAGATCAAGCTTTCGAATTTCTTCGTATTTTAACAAAACGTGGTCCTACTGCATTTGAAACCATGACTGAAGTGTTGAGAAAACACAAGAAAGAACTTGCAGACCTTATTGCAATAAAAGCGAATCCTTGCAGTAGTAAAAACCAAATAGCAAATGTCAACATCGATCACATGAGCCAGATACAGCGCCTACCCTGGGACCCCGACGACACCATGCCCATAGACGACGTCTATGTTAACCTGCAGTGGGTACAAGATGAAAGGAAACCTGCAGTTACTAGTTATGGTGTAATCCAGTGCTATACATCAATATTTAAATATACCAAACAAGGGAAGGCACCAAAGAGAATATTGGTAAGAGGAAAGGCGGGCATCGGCAAAACCACCTTCACAAAGAAGATGGCAACAGACTGGGCAAATGCCACACTGGGTTTAGGAGAATGTGATGGAGTACTTTCGAAATGCAAACATCTTTTAATGTTAAATCTACGCAGCATTAAGCCTTGTCAAACACGGAAACGGGCAATTGAATCGCAAATCACTTGTTCTACAGAAAACAGGAAAGCAGTGACAGATGAAATCATGCAAGCTCTCGACTTGGACACTGACTATGTGCTACTCGTCTTGTATGGATATGATGAATATGATAACAACACTTCCAAAGAAATCACATACATCATTTACCGTAAACGATACCAGGATGTGTGCACCGTCATCACAACACGTCCGCGGAAAGCAGAAGAACTGATGAACAGACGATTAATGGACAGTGCTTGTGAAATCACCATCCATTTGAATAATCTGGAGTCAAAAAAGCGTCACTTTCTTGATTTTCAGAAAAAGTCATGGTCAATAAGGAACAGTCTAGACTCCATGATGGGAAAGAAGCTGATGTCCTTGGTGAAGATCCCAGTACTGTTGCTGTTCAGGAGCTTTCGCCATGTGGCAGGGCTGGAACATTTGAGGCTAGACAGAGTATTCATGCAGGGACCCAGGTGTGGGCCGAGCAGGTGCACGTTCCCTAGGGGCGAAGATAACACAGAATATGAAGCAGTGCATGGACTGAGCCAAGGTGTGAGACAAAACACCATGTTGCCACTCTTCCCATTCACTGGAAATCAACTGGTGCAGTACCGTGGTATCAGCAGTATACTGATTGCATTGAATTCAATCAAAGATGGAAAGGGTTGGAGAATATGCTTGTCGAAGAACTTGGAAAGCAAGAACAAGAAGACTTCTTGTCATCGTACATACCAGTCAGATTACACATTGCTATCAAAAATAAGTACACAAGAGTACACAGCAAAAATTGATCCGAAATTTGATAGTCATACAGTGGCATCATCGAAGGGGAACAGGATACAACAGAAAGAAGAGATACAATACAAATGTACGAAAGATAATGCGGAGGAGAAGGACGATCCTGATATCTACAGGCAAGTTTTAGCTTTTCTTCACAATGATTTGTTTCAGCTTTCAACAAGCTTCGTCCCAGGAGGGACAAGCATGTTTTTATATCCGGCGCGTCTTCACGAGTTCTTTCGTCAGTCGGCACAAGGCCCACCCTTTCGTAAGGGGGAAGAATACTGCTATGAAGCAGTGCGACTGTCCAGTTTTAAAGACTTGCCCAATTCGGTCCCGGTACCAGCAACGCGACTTGCACGGTCAGGGTTCCATTACACTGGAAACAGTGATGAGGTAGCATGTTTTAGCTGTGGAGGGAGACTTAAGGAGTGGACCTATGGAGACAATCCATTTATGCGACATCGCAATTTCTTCCCAGATTGCCCACTTATGAAAGGAACTGAGACAAAGAATGTTCCCCTGTTCCAAACAGATGATGCTATTTCTAATGGCAACATTGGCACCAATGATGATCCTTTCCCAAACTTAGCAAGGTCTTCACCACGTGACCATGGTGGCAATGCGTCCTTACTACTGTCAAACCAACAGGCACTATCCAGGTCACTGGGCATCAGTTCACTAGAAGTCGCCATCCCGCAGATCACTCATGCCGGGGTTGCCAGTGGTGTACGCTCTAATGAGAACACATCTGCCCCCTCAACTCCACAAAATTCATCTCATCTACCTACATGTGTCCCGTCGCGGATGAGAAATGAGTCTGATCGCCTAGCAACTTTCGTCAGCTGGCCTAGTGGAGCAAATGTCCGACCCAAGGACTTGGCAAGAGCTGGTTTCTTCTATCTGGGCACGGAGGACCGGGTACAATGTGCCTTCTGTGAGGGGGTATTAAGGAATTGGGAACTAGGTATGAGTGTTTGTTAACGCTATGAACGTAATTCTATATATCCCTGCCTGTTCTGTATAAATGGTTGAAGCAAGAATAGAGCCACTCATTTGTATGAATATGAAAAGTTCCTAAATTTATCAAAACAATTAAAGCTCTAAACCATTAAAACTGATGCAATATTGCCACGAAAGATAAGTTTTAAACATTGATTTGTAACTTAAATGCTGGTTTTAACAAGCATTCATGGTTGTTGGATTTAAAACTCACAATACTCCTCAGCGTTGGAATGATGAAATGGACCACGGACTGTCAGACATTAACGTATGTTTTAGGTGACCAACCACTGCAGGAACACCGCAGATATCTTTCCACCTGCCCGTTCATCTTAGGACTGGAAGTTGGGAATATTCCTCTGGAAGAACCAAGCACAGCTCTTTCTCTTTCTGTGTCAGAATCACAAAGACAAGCTGTAGGAGGCAGTACAACAGGATCAGAGAGTAAGCATGAGATAGCAATAATTCTAACACATCCTCATAAACGCTACTGCGAGGACATGATTTAAAATACCTAGTTAACCATATTCATTTGGTGAAATGTAATGTATATTGATACTGCTTGAGTCGTGGTTCATAGTGCATTACATCTAGAATGCATGTTAGTACAAGACACCAACCACGGATATTAAATGTCATTAAACTGTCCTTATTTATGAAGTCGATCCCTAAAACTCTTCTTTCCATGGTTTCAACACATAGATTCCACAACTGGACCCACACTAGGAATACTAACAGCGAGACCTAGACACGAGAGATACGCCATTGAACAGGCCAGAGTTCGAACCTTTGTTAACTGGCCGCCATCTCGTATTCCGCGTCCCGAAGCTCTCGCCAGGGCCGGATTTTTTTACGCCGGTAAGTCCACTTTATATTTGACTGGAAATATATTCCTTAAATTATTAATTATTAATATATCACATATCCATTGGTGTTGCCAAATTTAAAGAAGAGGAGACCCCTCAATATAATACATTTGCCAAAACCTATAACGCCACTTTTTAAAGCACACCAGCAGTCCATAAATTAAGGCAAAGCCACACTATGTGTAGTATGTACAGATGGCAATGTGCTTCAACGTGCAATCCACAGCTCTCACATTTTTTAGATTGTCGATAATGATAAACTGATCCCTGATGAATAAAATTGGACAAGTTGTAATCTTAAGAAGAGGAGTAACAGGACCCATTCAGCTGATGTATTGTTTATTTATTTATTTATTTATTTATTTATTTATTTATTTATTTATTTATTGCTAATAACAGGTTTTGGTGACAACGTAAAATGTTTCTTCTGTGACGGAAGACTTAGGAATTGGGAATCTCAAGACGACCCTTGGGTTGAACATGCGCGTTGGTTCCCGCGTTGTGATTTTGTTCGTCAGTGCAAGGGGGATGCTTTTATTCAAATGATTAAGGATCAAAAGTCGCCAAACAACCCGGTAAGCATATATTTAACCACATCATTTAATATGAATTAATATGATGAAGATACAAACAAACAAAATTTAATAACGCGTACATCTTTAATCCAGATACCTTGCATGACGTACATTACTCGTATAAGCACATCATACTTGATGAAAGACAAAAATGTGGATTTTCTTTAGGTTGTGAATCTACAAACTATGTTAAGAACTGCCATATACATTTGTCATGTTTTTTATATAAATTGTTGACGGTTTATATTGATTAATTTTATTCAGCCTCCCCAGGCTCAAGCACAAAGAGCACAAGGTTTGTTATCCACTGCTTTCTGACCAACAAACACAATTATCATTTAGCCAGTACATGCGCCTTGCTAGGTTTCTTAAGTTTTAAAGCTGCACTCACCTTCATAGATAGACTGTATGGCTTTTCACAGAATTAGCAAATTTAGTAAATTTTTCACAGAATTAGCAAATTTGGTAAATTTGTGTGGGTACATGTATATATGAACAAGTCCTTATTGTTCTTATTTGTGATTGGACCCCATCAAACATTCAACAACTTGGAACAAAACATCACCATATACTTGTAAAAAATGGCTGAGCATGCTTCTTGTCTCATCATGTGATCAGAATTCTGTCTGTATACAGGTGCGCCAGGCAGTCACCATGTAGAGGCCCGGGAGATCAAAGCCCGCCTCGACACCCCGACAGTGCAAGCGGTCTTAGATATGGGTTTCAGACGAGATACAGTGCGTCAGGCGATCGAACGTAGATTGAGGGAAACTGGAGATGATTTCCCCAGTGCAGCGAGTTTACTAGATGCCATTTTGAATATTGAGGATGAGATGAACCGGCAGACGGCGCAAAATGCGGCGGCGATGGCAGTTATTCTCCAAGAGGAACCTGGTCAACAGCCACTAGTCCCAGCTCTGGTTGAAGTACCAGCATCTGTAACAACCCAAAAAACATCTCTTACGCAGAATTCGGGTAATGTCTGAGATAATAACACTCCGCTATGATTACTTGCGGTTAGATTATATAAAATATACACAGAATTTAATAAACTAGACCAAAAAGTACAGAAACATCGTTATTTTGAATGATTATGAAATAATCATAGGTGCTAAGCTAAACATTTTAACCAAGTGTTTGTGGATAGATTACAACTGGCATACCTGAATCATCTTTACAAATTCAGGGCTGTTCAGACTTGATGTAAAATTATATTTCATTTCAGAGAAACAATCTAAAAAAGACAATAGAAAGAAAAAGAAGAAGCAAGACGCTCCGGTACCAAAGGAAAGTGACGACAAGGGTGAGCATTAGGCTTTTGATCTCTGTTTGATGTGTGTCAATGTCCAATGATATAAAACTAATGTCCAGGTCAAACTCATAATGCGGGTATCATATACTAAGTAATCGTGGATCAGTTTGTACGTCTTAAGGCATAAATTAAAAAGCAAAACTTTCTAAAAATAAACTAATTTTTTTCAACCAGACAGTTCAAGCATTATTATCATTTGTAAACCATCAACGCACTCGAATTGCAGCTACGGTACAGGGCGACTGGTATATATCGTTTATGTTGTTTACAATAAGAAGCATCCTTAAGCCCTAAATGAATGATTAACAAAAGAAGGACAAACGTGTTTATTTGTGTCCTTTCCATTGTTTGAATGATATATCCTTATCAAGAACTGTTTTGAAGTAAGTGTTACCAAATGTGTTCCAGAGACCAAGTCTCTGCTTGAGGAAAACAAAAGACTGAAAGAAGAGCGCATCTGTAAAATATGTATGGATGAAGAAGTTAGCGTGGTATTTCTGCCGTGCGGCCATCTTGTCGCCTGTGTCCAGTGTGCACCTGCCTTGAGGAATTGCGCCATTTGCAGAACAGCCATCAAGGGAACGGTTAGGTCCATATTAAGTTAATATTTATGTAATATTGGCCAGGAAGAGCAAGGATATCTTCCAAACTGCACTTGCTACGTGCGGCTAGTCCCATAGTACATTTTTAATATTGCAAGCAAACTTCTTGTAAAAAGATGTGTGTCCTATCCCAACATTTTAATGTCTTTATTTAGGATTTTGTAGAGTTTTCCTTATTGTTATTTTACTGATTTCAGGAATTGATCTACCTGTATGCATTCTCATTATGATTAAAATCGTGCGAAACGCACGATGTCAACATAGTACTTATTATTTTTAGTCATGACAAATATAAGTATTTGCCTAATCAATATGTACTGTTTTTATTATTTATACAGCTTGTTTATTTGTTTATTTTTATATTATCTTTTACAAACCAATTTATGATAATCTCTATAAAATGTACATTGTGTACCATGATTATTACCATGTTGTATTTTACTTACTTTTCAAACTTATGAATAGTAGTGTTTATATTTATGTTTTAATTATATTTTATTAAATGTAAATCTTATAATTCATTATATGTAATTTTGCAGAATCTTACGAACTGTGCATGGTATTTACATTGATGACAACAATGAAACCTTGCCATATAACATTTTTGAAATATGTAAATGTGCTGTTTATATAAATGAACTTTACAACAACCGACAAAGAGAGCCGGATTTTCTGATAAGGTTTTCGTTTCATTTGATAAATTTTTAACCCTTGTTGATATAACATGAGGTGTTTAATTTATAGACGAGGAGTTGGACTTCATGACGTTGATTGGTCCTGCTCGTTATATGATGAAATCAGAAAATTATGTGGTATATATGTTGCATAAAATACAATTTGGTATCATAAAAGTACTTATCAAGACATATATAAATCTAATTGTTATTGAGCATTATTAAGAATCAATAATGAATGTCGATTGAGCATGAGCAATTCAAATAATATATTATATGTTTTATCGAAGACAAGTCCCTTAGAAACAACATAATAAGGATATATTGTGGGATGCAACACATGCAAGGAAATGCCTTTTAATCAGGGAAAAGATGATGGGTCAAAAACAAGTAAATTATATGTATTAAAAAAACTTGTGAATTTGTATGAAAAATCAGTCGATGAAAATATATTTGAAAGCTGCGGAGCATCGTTTTCGTCTCTATGATAATATGTCCAAGATTAAGTTAAGTTTCATCAGGTTTTGATAATTGTAATTAAATGTGTATCTAAAAAGTAACTTAATAAACTTACATAAAATACAATTACATTCTCATTAAGTTGCTGTATGCCTCAAGTTTCCTGGCCCAGAACCTACAAATAATTATTCAGGTAGACTGCTTAGTTTTGGTCTGTTGCTACCAAACGGGTGAACAAGGTGAATTGGTATTAATTAAGTCAGAATGCAGATTATGCCTGGTAGCATTTCCAAATATCTAGCTTTCAATGTGTAAATGGTTATTATACTGTACTGTTAGAATATTGTTTATCTCCCCGTTGCTAGATGGATTAATAGAAGAAGCCAATGTAGCAGCAGTGACACAGGCCATTGCAAAGATGACCATCCGTTGTGAGAAACATCCTAATAATGAAATAAAATATTACTGTGAAGAAGATGACATTGTTGCATGTGGTGGCTGCGAATTAACAGACACGGTATTATGCCAGTTGATAAAGTTGCAAAAAGCGACAGAGATGAAATTAACGCAGGAAAGGTTCCATTCACATAATGCAAGACAGAAATACCTGCATTCATGGCTCTATTCCCATAACCTGAGGTTAAGAGTAAACACAATACAACACACAATTGTTTTATTTTTTCCTGCTGAAGTCCGCACATAATAAACAGACGCCAATTTTTTCTAACTTTGCACAGTTCTGAAAGGAAATGGAAGAAGCGGCGCATTTTCTGGGATTATTTTAAAATCAATACCCATAAATATGACAGTAAGCCAGTCTAAGAGAACACACAGCACTAGTAAAAAGTAGCATTTAATTGTGATCTCTGTTGATCAAAGTTGCAGCATTTGAAAGAAAGAAACTGAGAAAGAAACTGAGCATTTTTGACAACTTTTAGTTATTCAACAGAACCAACTCAATGATCCTTAATTAATTAACAAAGGGACAGTAAGACATGGCAGAAGCACTAGTAGCAGCTTTCACATATAATCTCTTAATATGTGGTATCTGTCTGGGAGAATATGAAGACCCCCTTGCACTGCCTTGCCACCATACATTTTGCTATGGTCGTATACGGGACCTTGCTCCTCGCATAATGACTCCAAGTAGGGCATTTCTCTGTCCCATTTGTAGAGATCCAGTTTCCAACCGGTGGACTTTGTCAATATGCGGTTCAGAGAAAAAAATGAGAGTTGAAAAACTACACGTTTATTATCTACAGAGACTGATCAAAAACTACCCACTCAATGAACATGGCCTGAATATATACAAAGTAGGCAACAGGAGGCGGAGCTAAAACTAAAACTATGTTCACTACAGACATTGACATTCACAGGTGTGTGGCATAGATTCGTTGTAACCATCCATTATACATACCGTTTTTTATATTTTTCACAAAGGACTTTCAGATTGGAAGTAAAATGTTAAAGAAATACCTCAGAAGGGAAGATAGAAAGGGGACAAGCTGCCAAACGGCACGTATATTCTGGAAAACTTACAATGGAAAAAAGTTTGAGGGCTGTGGGTGCTGGTCATCTAAAGCAGTACATAGAAAATAGGTGATATTTGAGCAAAAATGTTCATTAGATTGGTTGTTGGATATGCATGAAATTCTCAAACACAAGCCTCATTTTTTTTGCCTACCGTTAGCTGATATTTACCGTTGATAGCTACCGTTAGGTGATATTTCTTTTGAAAATTTATAAAATGTAAATAGCAACTTTTGTCTAATTCTTCTATAAAACAATGTTAGCTATTGAAACATCAACTTCATATTTATTGTCATTGCGTTTTCATGATCAATTTGGACAGCATTTACAGCACGTTGATTTTTCTGTATTTCAGAGCTGAAGGCGAAGCTGAAACCAGTTAAATATTAAAGAATGAAACAATTGAGTATTTTGTACAACAAAGAAGATTGTAAACAATAAACACCCAGTTAAAACAGGCTGTATTCTTGTATTTTTTAATTCAATAAATTATATATATGTTTATTGCACTACCAGCGTAGGTGCTGCGGTACACATGGTTTTAGTCCCTCCGGGTCGTTTCGCCGGCTCCCCCGGCTCCGCCGCCATGTTACCGTTACCAAGGCAGAGGTGATGGTCAGCTAGGGGAACCACAAGATGTTTGCACAAAGAGCTATGGTAACATCTTCATTGCTGACTATGGTAACCACAGGATAGTGGCACTGAGTCCAATGGGGAAGTTTATGAGACACATTGCCACTAAGGATGATGGGTTGAATCATCCTGTAGCATTAGTCATCAACTCTACTGGCCAGTACTTATAGTAAATACTGATTACATTGAACACTGGTGTAAATAAATGTCACACTGGCACAGTACCGATATTCTGAAGGAAATCCATATGCGTAGTCTGTTTATAATTCGCATTATTTAGTTTTGTTAGTTTTAATTTAGTGTAGAAAGTGAAAACTATAATCTTAAAAATAACAAAGCGATGTTAATAAAAACCTTGTGTTACCATTGATAACGTGGATAGATTGTAGGAAACAGAATATAAGGCATGGTTTCTCTACTAGACAGCTATGATAGCAGAGAGGAAGATAAACCATATTCATTTATATCACAATACTCAATACTCAATACTCAATGTTTTTAATAATAATACCCATAGTGTTCAGGGGCGGATCCAGGATTATTTTAAAGGGGGATGCCCACTTGACAGGCCTCGCATGCAAAGTCAACCCTTCTCCCATTGGTGTTTCGGTATTTTGGAGGACAAACGGTGCCATTTGGTGCAGTTTAGAACCATGGTTTAGCTCTTCAAATCTCTAATATCAAGAGGGCAATATCTGGATGATTTTTTCCCCAAAACAGAAGGGATGTTTAAGAACGCCCAGAACCCCCTAGATTAACAAACTTTGAGCTTGTCCTTAAATGTTCCCAAGGTTTAGGTGGACCAAACTGCCATAGTGACGGTGAAGTTTTTAATTGGCATATATAACATGATATGAAGTGTTGATTGCCGGACCCATGGAGAAAGCCTCATATAAACAACAAGGGCCCTTTAGTGCCATGTTTTCACACCTGAATACCGTGCACAATTCGTGTAGCTGCGTCGAGTACATTGGCATGCAACAACACAAATATTTTATTTTAAAAGGGATAATGTCTATACATCTGCGTGCTTTTTCATCAGCAGCTCTATTTAGAAAGTTACCCTAGCTAGGTCACTGAACAATGCTTACACTGAAGTTACGGAAGTATATAGGTGAATATGAACGGCATGTATTGATCAAGTGAAGAATAAGAAACACATGACTGCACTCACTGAAACTTTTTTATGACTAAGCACCGCAGCTGTATTTATGCCAATAATATTACCTGGCAACTAGCGACGGGCCCCATTTTGTTCGCCTTACCAGACGGAAATCAAGGACAAAAGTCATTTTAAAGACTAAATATAAAAGAAAACCTATCCTGGGAAAGTGTAAGTCAAAGTACCACTGAGTGAGAATTCACCGCACAAAGAAACCGACTGACATTGATCTGCCGAGTTGGGACGAGATTGCTTCGATGAAAACTTTTCATGGATTAGGTGTGAAATCGACCGCTGGAATTTTGATGTTTTAGAGGTACAGTATGAGACGTAACTGTAACTATTTTCAAAGATGATATTACAGGTCCACATTTTATAATTCTTATTTTGAGTTTCAAATTAAATATCGCGAACGTATAACAAAAA